CCATGTATTTCAGGGGTAGGACTGTACACAGGGACTACTGAAAGGAATAAAGATTACTATGTTCACATTTGGTTTGGTTTTGTGAAAGACAGCTTCCTAGTGTGCTGTGGTGGTGTACACAATTAGTCCCACTACCACAAAGACTTCTGACAGATGGGTCTGTGAGTTCAAGTCCAGCCTGGTTTGCATAACAAGATCCAGGCTAACTAGAGTCACACTCTGAAACTCTGTCTCCAAAAGAATCACCATGAGATAGAGGAAAGACACAGTAGTTAAGAAGACTTACAGTTCTTTCAGAGTATCTGGGTTAGATTCCAAGAACATACATGGTGGCTCACAACCCTCTGTAACTCCAGTAACAGGGGATCCCACACCCTTGTCTGACCTCTGAGTGCAGGACACATCACATATCACACAATACTCAGTATTCATGAGAGGATTAGAAACTGCTAGGAAGCCCTGGAGTTAGATTCTAGAAAAGACAAAGGTTGAATGTGACACTGGCTACCCAGGAAGCCTGTCCTAATATGGGGCTCAGATTCCCTTTACACTGGGCCTTTTTCAGCCTCTGGGCCTATAGAGGTAACACTGGGCAGACATCCTAGACCACTGAGTTCAGGTATGTCATCAACACAGCTGTCTACATCTGGGAACCAGCATGAGCCCCTCAGACTTGTGAATGAGAAAATAGGATAGAAGAATTTTCTAGCTTAGATATGACTCTGAGACCTGGTACCAATGAACTTTCCTAATCCTGGGTTCTCTGTCCTTCCTTCATTTCTTGAATATTTCTCAGTTTCCTACTTCTAATAAAACACATAAATGAACAAACAAAGCCTTAAAACTGTTTTCATGTATTGCCGTAGCCCATTACCTGTGAATTGATTAAAGGAATCAACCTGTTGCATCACTGGGAAAAGAAGGGATTCCTAATTCCTGATCTATCGATGCTTCAGTATTCTGACTGGCTGAGTGTCTCAGTTGAGAAGGTTATGCAAAGAATAGGCCAGATCTATGTTCACAGTACCCCTTTGATTGAAAAGTTAGATGTCCAGTGAGTGATCGCCAACATGGTTGAGAGCTTGGGTCAACAAAGAAGAAATAAAAGAAGAAAGGTACAGGCCAGGAGGTGGTGGTGCACACCTTTAATCCCAGCAGTTGGGAGGGAGAGGCAGGCAGATTTCTGAGTTTGAGGCCAGCCTGGTCTACCGAGTGAGTTCCAGGACAGCCAGGGCTACACAGAGAAACCCTGTCTCGAAAAAAAACAAAAACAAAAAAAAGAAGGAGGAGGAGGAGGAGGAGGAGGAGGAGGAGGAGGAGGAGGAGGAGGAGAAGAAGAAGAAGAAGAAGAAGAAGAAGAAGAAGAAGAAGGAGAAGAAGAAGAAGAAGAAGAAGAAAGGTACAAAGGAAAAAGGAGTATTTAAAAGGAGACAAAAGAATGAAACAAAAGAGGGTAGATGGGCCTTGTCTCAAGCTAAACTTTCAGCTTCAGGAGACAGAGGCAGGAAGAAGGAGTTCAAGGTTATTTTATGCTACTGAGGAAGTTGTGGGTAAGCCTAGGATACTTGCAACCATGTCTCAAATAATAAATAATAGAAAAGGAGGAGGAGGAAAAAGAGGAAAAAGAAAGAAAAAGAGAAAGAAAGGAAGAAGGAAAGAAAGAAAGGAAGGAAGGAAGGAAGGAAGGAAGGAAGGAAGGAAGGAAGGAAGGAAGGAAGGAAGAAAGAAGAAAAATAACTTTGTTAGGAGTTCACACCCATTCATCCAAGTTGACTTTCTCTTGTCTTGATGCTTAAAATGTGCATTAAAATCACCTAATAAAACCTAACTCTGTTCCCAATGGCTTTCCATTCCCTTTATCACATGAGTGTGTGACTGCTGGATGTAATCACAGCAACTAGTAGATGATGCGGGGAAGGGGCAAAACTGTTGATCATTCTTGGCTCCAAAGTAGGTTGCAGGATAGAAGAGTCTTTCTTAACAAACTCAAATAAAGAAAACCCAAGAACAAAAAGAATGAGTTTTCTCTACCCTTGGACTAAAGGAAGTGGTTCCCTGTTCAAATTAGTCATCCATGTTGTACCCCAGTTTCCTTTGTATTCATGTGAATGTGATAGCAACACCTTCCACCACACGTGCTAGAAGAAGCAGCGGAATGTTTCTGTAGAGCAGGGAAGGGTTCTGGACACAGTCACTCAGGCTGGTGACAGTACTGAGATGAAATGAAAGATGGCCAGGCTAGGTGGCCAGGCCCAGAGTAGGCAAATCTAAGGTGGCCTTCATCATAGGAGTCCTCACTGCTCTGCCATTCCTGCCTTTTCCTCGGACCTTGGCTTCCTGCTACTCTCTGATCTCCTTCCCTGCTTTCTGTTTCTCTTTGTGCCTTTTGGTGATATTGCCATATCCTCCTTCCCCGATTAACATAGATTACCCTCAATTTTAGAAATGATTTTTATTTACAAAATAAAGGGTTAAAATCTTTATGTTTCATGTTTACAATGTAACTTTAGGTCATGTGAATATATTTAGTAAATGTATCAAATACTAAATTACCTGGGCATAGTGGCTCACACTTTTAATCACAGCACTGGATTAGGCAAAGCAGAGGCAGACAGAAAGGTATGGGGACTCGACATGGTGAGTTCTGGGATGGTCAGGACTATGGAAATAGACCCTGTCTCAAAAAATAAATTTAAACTATGGATAACTGGTTTTGGTTGTCAACTTGACTACATTTGCTATTAACTAACATCAAAAATGAGGGCACAACTTATTTGATTTTTTTCCCCTGATTTTAAATCAATAGATCTACCTCTAATCCGAAGCTGGAAGACACAAATTTTTCATCTGGATCTGTAGGCATGGAGGGAACACACCTTTAATCTGAACCACACCTTCTTCTAGAATCCTATATAAGGTCACGGAAGAAGGAAGCACTTGCTCTTTGGATGCAAATTGTCGCTTGGCTAGCAAGTCCATTCGTTCTTCTGCAGTGGAGCCTCCTTCTTCAGGAATCTAGCATTTCCTGAAGACAAGAGGAGAAGTCGACTAAGACACCTGGAGTTTTGGACTTTGTTGTCACAGCCAGATCAGGACTACAGCCTGTAAGTCATTCTAATAAATTCTTTTTAAGAATATATTTATATATAAATATACATAAATGCATGCATATATATATTCACGCAAATATATGGAGAGATTTATTCTACAATTTCTGTTGCTCTACAGAAAACTAATACTAAATAGTTGAGCTTGTTTGTACATTGTTTGTTTGAATTTGAGCCTAGAACTTGTTATATAGCCTAAGATTCTCTAAAATCTGAACCATCCTCCTGGCTCAGCCTCCTGAGATGAGATTAAAGGCTCCTGGTTAACCTTTGCTGATCCACCCTATACATCCAGGAAGGCTGGGGCTGAGTCGGTCACATCCCAGAGCTTTATAAACAACGGGATCTCCACCTGCTTGTCAGACTTCCAGAAGCCCAGGGAAGTGAACACAGCACCTCCACACTCCAGACTCTATTTCACCCACCAGGACACAGCGAACCGCAGTTCCAGGACTCCGTGTAGTACACCCAAGCTCTGGAAAGAAAATGCAGGTGATTTGGAAGGCCATGTATGGGGGTCTACTTTTGTGTTTTGTGGAGGATAACTGGAATATTTGTCTTCAATTGCTCTCATAAATTTTATAGCTAAGTGTGTGCCATGTGAATATGAAATCATTTGGTACTCAAAGCAAGCCTCATGGAAGGCATTGTGGACTATGTTCATAGCCAAGACAACTTGGTAAAACATGATGAACTACCTTGAATTTGAAGCCATGTCAGCAATTTGCAGACATACCAAAGCTGGTCCTCTCCTTGTACTTGGCCTTTCTGGTTTTTCCTTTGTTTAAGACAGCATCTTGTTGATCCAAGGCTAGGCCACACCCCACTGTACAGCCAAAATGACCCTGAACTTCTAAACCTGCCTCTACCTCTTAGAAAAGAGATGGGATTATAGAAACATGCCATGCACCCTTGTTACATTTTTCTTGACCTATAATTATTTGTTCATCTAATTCATCTGATGTCTTATTATATTTGAACCAAAGCTGGAGTTTATGAGGATGTGTAGATATGGATTTCTAGCACTAGGATAACAAAAAGGAGTTCGGGGAGAAAGTGAAATGGAGGGAGTGGCCGAGGTCTTTAAAGGAGAGGCGCTTTTGGAGCTCCTCCAACATACATGGATGGTTTCCCTGGTTACACTTCACCACCATGGTTTCCCCTTAGGTGAGAATGAGCGAGCATCTGTAGATCAGGAAGGAAGAGTCCATTGTCTTTGCAAAGCTGCAAGAGGATGGTTCTGGAATCTGCTCACGGCTGAGAGACAGATTCTTGTTGCACGATAACATTTTAAATGTTTTCATTATTCATTTCTGAACAGACAGAAGCAAACCAAGGCGAAAGTTTGGGAAACACCGAAGAATCGAATGTGGAAAGTAGTGTGAAGGGCGCAGAACAAAATCCCTCAGGTATTCAGAGGCAACTCTGAGAAAAAACAAAATCTTCTATCATAGTTGTTTTTCCTGAGACATACAGACTTATGCAAGTCTCCAGATGTGGACAGCTGTGTCAAGAATAGACTTGAACTCAGTGGTTTCAGGTTTCTGTCCTTCTTACACAAACCCCTAAGTCTTGGAGGCTGTTAGTGGCTCCCTGGGAGAGAGGAGCCTTGAGTCTAAGCAGGGACAATGTCCCCAGGTAGTACTTGTCCTGTGACAGCCCTTTCTATTCTGTAATATATTTTCTACAACTGAAGAGATCTATGCTTACGTGTGAGTGTGCTCCACGCGGCTAAGAGCAGATAGTAATCCTGGGATTGCAAGCAACTGTTCCTAATCTCTTAGTAACTGAATGAGGCCACTTCTGGCTTGTCATTGTGCAGGAAGGGTCCCTAAGACGAGTTCAGATGCGCGTGTACATTGCATCAAAGGCACTCATCACAGCCCTCTGTCCCTTGCAGGTCGTGCCCGTAGCTCATGGACTGACTCTGAAATCAGAGTCTTCCTGCAGGAGTGGGAAGTAGTTGAACAGGAAATGGGCCATACAGGCAGGAAGAACCACAAGAAGACCAAGTTTCTCTGCCAGCGCCTCTATCATCGGGGCCTGAAGAAGAGCTGGAAAAGCTGTTTCCACCTACTGCGGAGCCTGCAGGATCTGCACAGGACTCTCTGTAATGAGAGACCAGGGATTGAACCCTTGTTTTCTCCTTATGCAGAGGCTCTGTACAGGATCCTGGGCTCCAGTCCCCAGGAAAGCTGGTTCCCAGGTTAGTCTATTCTGTAGAGAACCTTTTTAGGTTCTCTAGAGAGCAGCATCAGGTGACCGCTCCTTCATGAGCACAGAGCAGAGCACACAGTATGGGAATCCCCATTCTCACAGACCTTCATTGCACATAGCAAAATAAATGTGTGTCCCCTCTGTTTGTGTTCCTCTGTCACCCCAAGCGGATGGAATTTGGACATGCTCAGGGTAGACCATGCCACACAGGCCAGACCATTGGTAGACGTGATTCAGAAAGAGTGAGAGTGACATTCTTATGAACTCTGTTTCTTCTCCCTCTCAGGTCCTGTCTATGATGGGGCTGGTGACTCCATGCTCTCTGTGTACCCTCAAGCTCCCAGGTACCAGCCTTCAGATTATGGCGTCACCGTTCCTTCTGCACAGCTTCAAGGGAATCCGCTGCCGATGATGTCGCAGGAGGAGTCCCCATTTCCCACATGGGAGCCCTGGAATCCCAGCTATCCATTGTCAGTTCCACACCTACTTCCTGGCTTTGTCCCAGGAGACCCCAGCCTCCAGCAGCCATGGTCAACCTGTGACAACCTGTGATTTGCACCAAGATCCCCAATGAAGAGAAGTGGAGATTCCCTGTTTATTCCTTGTAAACCTCAGGATCATGTAGTATTGTGTATTTAGGCATCTTTCTCTACCTCATAAGAGAAGAAAATGTGGAATTTAATGAAGGTCCATGAAGAACTCCCTCGTGCCTCATCCTTGTTGCTTCAATGGGGCCCATAAGTAAAGAGGAGCAGTGGATTGTTATTTGAGGTTCGTTCCCTGGTCCCCTGCGACTTGCCCTCCCTTGTCTGTCTCCGTCTGACCCCTGGCATGGAGTCTCCTCTCCCACGAAGGGCAACCTCTGCTTCCATAGGCACCTGCTCATGCCTTCTTCATTCCCTAGCCCCCTTGTTGCAGAATTTTTGTCCAGTGTTTCACAGTCTCAAATTCTCCACCAAGCAAGTGAAATGCCCGGAGCGACACATGTAGCTGGGCAGTCAAGCGATTGCTTAGCAAGTACACAGACTTTGGTTCATCTACAGCAATGAAAAAATAATTGAAGATGTAGTCCTACCTCGGATGTATTTGTAAGATATGAAGAAACATAAACAGCGCGGTGGCTTGAAATTGTGCTCCATATTGTCACAGACTTCGCCATTTGGTCCACAGCTGATGGCAATATTTGTTTTGATTTGGGTGCTTTGGGCTTCTTGGAGGAATTATGTTACTAGTGCTAGTTACTAGTACTTTGAGGGTTTGAAGACTCACTCCATGTCCCACTGCTCCTCTTTTTTTTTTTTTTTAACATGGCACTCATTGCTTTAGCGCTCCACCTGTTGGTTCAGTCACCCTTCCATGGCCGCCATTTGCTTCTTGTTCCCTCCACCTTAAGTTCTGCTGGCCTAGACGCTTTCATTCCAGAGAGGGTAGTGTGCCTGCATCAGCTTTCTTATCTTCTTCTGCAATGAAATCAGGAAGCCAGGGAGGTTAAAATGTCCATAGGGTATAAGTAGTGAGCAAAGAATGCCTGCGTGTCCTAACCCATCATCATAGTTTCTGTGGCAAAGGGAACATCTCAGGATACGAAGGCAAATTAAAGCACTTTTTATGGCTGGAAATAATCCTATCACCTAAGCAGAATCTGAAATAATATCTAAGGGTTTTCTTATTAACTGTAATATAGGAATCAAAACAGCCATATATACCTATTTAGCTGAAACACAAAGTATTAAAAGATTGGTTAATATCCAGGCCTGGAATCCATCCTATACTATTAGACAAGCCATCAATAAATTACATAAATACCTTTGGAATGGAATTATGTTGGACAATGTATTAGTCACAAATTGAGTTCATATAAGAAAAGTACCATAACTTGCCCACTGAAATCTGATTTCTTATTCTTCTGCAAATGTCTACAAATGAGATGTAAGAATCCATTGAGTTTGGTAATGCTCTTATAAACTGATTGCTGGCTGATGGTAATGTAATTTTTGACATTGGGTCCTCCCTTATTTACTAACTGAGCAAGAGTAAGGTAAGCAGTTAATGTTTTGTGGCCCTTATGGTCTAAATTAATCCATTCCAAAGGTTTATCCTTTTGTGCTAAAATAGCTGTAGAGGCCAGTTTAGAGGGGAAAATGGGTAAGTTTAAAGAAAGGAAAGTATCCTCTGGATACACAAATGCCTCTCTTAGTCTGGATTGAAATGCCTATGGTTGTTTTCTTGCCTTTTGAGATAATATGTAAAGACTGTCCAACACATTAGGTATTCCTAAGGTGTACTTTTAGGCATTCCTAAGGTAGGATATAGCCAATTAATACTGCCTAATATTGTCTGAAAGTGTTAAGTGTTTTTAAATTGTCTTGTGTAATGGACATCTCATTGTGGTTTCACAGTTGTTTTAGTTACTAGTTGCCCCAGATATTGCAGTGTCTGATCTTTGTGCATTTTCATGGGCGATAATAAGCTCTCTTTTACATAGCCTATCTGGAGTTCTGTCACATGGTTTGTAGCTCTCCCTCTTTTGAAGGTGGCTAACAGGATAACAACCATAAAATAAATGACATAAGGCTGAGGCAAGCCCTGTCTCACAGGCTCTAAAACCTGTCCTACATCATATTAACACACAGTGGGGGAGTTTCTCCTGCCTTGAGGTAATGCACTTCTTTTATATCAGAACTGAGGTACTTTAGGCTTGAGAAACAGAAAATGCTGAATACCCCTCACTGTCAGGATGAATATGTACAGTATGAAAGCAGTCTGTTAAATTCCAAACTATTAAAGGCCAATCTTTAAGAATAACTGTGAGTATAAGTGAACCAGGCTGTAAAGTTCCCATTGGCCACATGGTGCCATTGATATTTCTGAATTGGTCAACAATCTCCATTTACAAGACTTCTTTTTAATTACAAAACCAGGAAACTTCCAGGTAGAATATGTATATATATGCCCATTTCCCAGCTGTTCTCAGACTACCTGCTGAAGAGCCTGTAATCTTTTCTTTTAGAAGGGACTACTGAGATGTCCAGTAGCTCCTGGATTTCTGTGCAATTTTTATCTGTGGTATTTTTCAGTAGCCTCTATGACTAACCCAATCCATGTTGACGATTTTGTCCTTGTGCAATATTGGTTCGATACCACTAAGTCTTTTCCCATTCCTTTATCTTTTTGATATCCCATCTTTTGTATTAGCCACTACCCTTGTGAAGAATAGGTACTATTAAAGGTAGGAATATAGCATTCGATTGTTGTAGAATGTCTATTCCCCAAAGATCAACCAGAACATGAGAAACCTAAGGTTGTCATTAGGCTCACTGGACCTATACATTATAATTTTGTAGCACTTTGTTTTAATCTCATTAGAGTTCATAATTCCCAATCCTATCAGCATTGAATTTACCTCCATAATAGGACACTTGGACAGCCATTCTTTTATGGTTCTAATAGAGACATTGGTCATAGAACAAATCAATCCTGTAAAAGTTTTTCTCTTGTTTTTTAAAAATTAATGAATGAATGAATGAATTATACTTTCTGACCAAAGTTTCCCTTCAAACTTCTGTTCTCAGTCTCCTCCATCCCCCTTCTCCCGTCCACTCCTCCTCTGTTCCTATTCAGAAAAGGGGGAGGCTTCCCATGGATATCAAACAGCCCTGGCATATCGAGTTGCATTAAGGCTAGGTAGCTCTACTCTCCTATTAATGCTAGAAGAGGAAACCCAGTAGGAGGAAAAGGCAGGCATCAGAATTAGAAATAGCTCGTGTCCCTGCTGTTAGGAGTCCCACATGATGACCAAGCTATAAAATTATAACATACGCAGAGGGCCTAGGTCAGTCCCATGCAGGCTTCCTGGTTGGCAGTTTAGTCTTGTGAGTCCCTAGGAGCCCAGGTTAGTTGATTCTGTAGATTTTCTTATGGTGTTCTTGACCCCTCTCGCTCCTACGATCCTTTATCCCCTACTTCCGAATGAAGGATTCCCCAAGTTCTGTCTGATGTTCGGCTGTGACTCTCTGCACCTGTTTCTATCCGTTGCTCTATGACGACAATTGAGCTAGGCACTAGTCTATGAGTATAGCAGAATATCATTAAGAATCATTTTGTAGACTTTTTTTGGGGGGTGGAGCCAGGCATGTTTGGTTCTCCTAGATCTCTGGGCTCTTCAGGCGCTGGGTCCTTGGCCCTGCACGCAGTGTTGGGGGTGGGCTCCCTCTCATGGTGTGGTTCTCAAGCTGGACCAGTCATTGGTTGTCCCTCCCCACAATTTCTGCACCACTTTTATCCCAGCACATCTTGTAAGCAGGACAAATTGTACGTTGAAGCTTTTGTAGTTGGATTGGTGTCCCAGTCCCTCTGTTGGAAGTCTTATCTGATTACAAGATACAGCTGGTTCAGGCTCCATTGCTAGAGTCTTAGCTAGGGTCACCCTCATAGATTTCTGGGAGTTTCCATTGCATTAGATTGCTAGCCCATCCTAGATATGTTCCTTGATTCTAAATGTATGTCCCAGTACTCTCTCCCTCCATCCTTCCCCAACCTGATCCCTCCTGTTCCAAACCCATCCCCACCACCCATTCAGTTCTCTCTCTCCATCTAACCCTTCTCAGTGAGATTCATACACCCCCTTTGAGCCGTCCTTATTCCTTAGTTCCTTTGGGTCTGTGGATTGTATCATGCTTTTACTTTATGGCTAATATCTACTTATAAGTAAGCATATATCATGTGTGTCTTTCTGGGTCTGGGTTATCTTACTCAGGGTGATCTTTTCTACCTCCATCCATTTGCATGCAAATTTCATAATGTCATTGTTTTTTAACAGCTGAATAATACCCCATTGTGTAAACCTTCTTTTTCTTGATCCATTTGGTTGAGAGACATCTAAATTGTTTCCAGTGTCTGACTTTTACGAATAAAGCTACTATGAATTTAAATTGAGCAAGTGTCCTTGTGATGTGGTTGAAAGTCCTCTAGATATATACCCAGGAGTGATATAGCTGGGTCTTGATGTGGATTGATTCCCAATTTTCTGAAAAAAAAAAATCACATTGCTTTCCAAAGTGGCTGTGCAAATTTGCACTCCTACCAGTAATGAGAGAGTGTTTGCCTCACCCGACGTCTTTGCCAGCATGGGCAGTCACTTATGCTTTTAATCTTTGCCATTCTGAGGGGTGTAAGATAGAATCTGAGTCATTTTTAATCACATTTCCCTGATGTTTAAAGATGTTTGAGAATTTCTTTAAGTGCTTTTCAGCCATTTGAGATTCCTCTATTGAGAATCTCTGCTTAGATCTGCACCCCGTTTTTAATTGTATTATTTGTCTTGTTGATGTCTAGTTTCTTGAGTTCATTATATATTTTGGATATTAGTCCTCTGTCAGATATGAGGTTGGTGAAGATCTTTTCCCATTCTGAAGGCTATATTTTATCCTTTCGATGGTGTCCTTTGCCTTTGAAAAACAGTTTTCAGTTTCGTGAGCTTTCCATTTTTAATTTTCAATCTTAGTGCCCTTGTGATAGGTGTTCTGTTCAGGAAGTTGTCTCCTGTGCAATGG